CAAAAAAAAAATAGGAATGCAGCATTGTAGCATCAATTCTGCAGTACATGTCATGGTGTCATCAATTGAATCATACCAACATGAGACTAGTCCAGTCTTTATATCTATCTCAGTTCACTGTGGGGTTGGAGATCACATGGTAATGTGAATGTAATAGAATACGAGCCTCTGCAAAGATCACAGCAAGTTCACGTCAACAAAGTGATGGAATACCGAGCCACATCTTTTACGTTACTGAACGAAAGAAACTGCGTTTTTGTCTATTGGGATATGACGAATTAAAAATAAATCTTACCTTGCTTGAATATGTGCGACTACTTGTGAATATGTCTTGCCAGTAACGCTTTCTCCGTTAACGGATACGATTCTGTCACCGGTTGACAAACCAGCCTCTTCAGCTGGACCACCTTCTTTGACTTGTCGAACGAAGATAGTGTCCATGGGCTCTAAAGCACTAATCCTACTGCGTTTCTTTTGCTTATGACCTAAAGAGACAGAAACGAAGCAGTGAGCGTGATGATGCAGTGCAGACTACACAGGGTTGAAAGGCTATGTAATGAATACTACAACATACCGTACACAGACTTCAACGATGATCATAGCTATATTTCAACATCTTTAGGAATGTGGATGAACTCAATGCAAACAAGAGAACCTCTCCAAAAAAGATTTAAATATTTAGAAATTAAACACTACTATCTGATAATGTTGTGTTTGCTCCGAGATAACTTGGCAGTAATGAGTGGGACCGAACGCATATAGTTTGTCTGAATCACCAAAAGGCAGTCTCATTAAAAGAAAGAATCCTTTTAAAAAATGTCTCTGTGATTGTTTCTATGTGGCAACTGAACAGTGCAATGACTTAGAGGGCAATCATTTCAGAAGGATTACGCACTTTCCTAGGAATGGATGATATCAACATCACAATATGACAAGGGTCATAAGTATCAAAGTAAGAAATATAATACAAGCACAATGATTTCTATTTCAGAGTATTTATATTTTAAAAACTGTGTTAGTGTACCAGCTATTAAAACTGTGAAAGATGCCACTCATACTCAACATATCAATCTATTTATTGTCAAGGAGATATATATCATATGTTAATTTAAATTGTTGTTACAACATTTAACAAGGCTTTGCCTTTTTCATTTCACAAAACTAGTTCAAAGATCAATTGGATGGCTATATCAGGGTACAAAAACCAATCCGATGAGGTATTGCCTTCCTTATCATTAATTATTAAATTATACAAAAGCAATGGGAGGGAAGAAAATCTAAACTTCTAAAATGTTAACATTTGCTATTGTATTAAACCACTCAATATTTATAAGATTAGCAGCAAGTGTAAATATATACAAGAAGAATAACAAAGATAAGACTGATAACAAGTGTACACAGAGAAGACAGTCACAGGAACTAGCCCGAGGACAAAACCGATGAAATCTTTGTACGGCAAAGTTAATTTTTGGCACCATTTACAAATCCCTTTTTTTTTGTTATAAATTCTGATCAAGACAAAAATTAACAAAATTGAGAAAAATACACTAAAATTTGCAAAATGTTATATCAGAAATTTGGAGGGAAAAATTATGGTGCTCCAATAAGACAATATCTTTAATAATTACGACAAACATTATTATTTACTCTTACCTTCTGTGTCACTTGATTCATCCCCGCTTTTTCTAAGTTCTGCTTGGATAGCAGACTCTGGTGGGTAGACTATGAAGTGACGCAGCGTGAATCCAAATCCATGGTCATTTCGTATCAACTTGACTGTTCTAGGACCAGGCCATCCCGTCAAGGGATCGATGTAAGTACTCATTGACTTCACATCAGAAGAGGATGATGATGACTGCACCTATAAACACATACATACATGTAATGCATTTAGTGAGTGACAAAAAAATTTAACAGCTAAATTTTATTCACTAGAATTGTCCAACAAATAATAATTTGAAACTTAGAGAAAGTCAGAATGAAACCTTCACTCGCAAAATTGATTATTAGTGTATGGACGACAAGTGAAAATGGGCATTAGGAGCAGACACAGAAAATAATATCATTTTATTACACCTGTGCACATACATGTAGACACAGTACAGAGTTCCCACATGGCAAGGTCTATTGAGAATTTACAGTGAGAAAATTTTTTATTTTTTGCTTGGTACTACAGTATATCATGAAGGATTTGGGAATTCCTTGGCATAACATGGGGCATGCTGGAATGCAAAGCAGTTAGGGAAGACAATCATGTACCTGCTGTATTAGGAGTACATAAACCATGAATTGTATTTACTTGATAAAGACTCAATAAAATAAAGGTTATTTTGACCACAGACACACCTCTGTCACTGTAAGAGTATGGGCTACTAATAGAAAAAATACAGTATATTCAAGACCAAGTGTCTATGTGTGGTTTTTACTTTATACAATACATGTATGTGTTCTTTCGCAGAACTG